AGAGAGAAGGCATGCTGACGCATAAGTCATCTTTCCTTTTGATATAAAACGCCTTTATATTCTCTCTCTCGGTTTTATCTTTTGATCTCTTTGAAAACTTTGTTTCAGTCAAAAGAGGCTTACAGTAAGCACATCGCTTGCAGTGGTCGGCCAGGTGTCCCGCCGCGTTGTTGCGCACAGAAAGATTATGTTCACGTGCCCTATCGTTAAAACAGCGGCCGGTTTGTTCAATATAAACTTTTCCGCAGCTTAATGGTATCTCATATACAACATTGGTCACAGATTCAGTGTACCGTACAGCGTGCTTCTTAGAGCAGAGTGTTTTTTTCTGCCGTGTAAGCATCGAACAGATTTTTGAGAGCTGACAAGGGGCCGAAAAAACAACATTTACATCGTATCCGCTAGCTATCTTTTTAATATTGCGAGACACTTTATGCCATTAAGGAATCACATGTACAGTACACGTCTTTTAACTTTATTTGTCTGGCTGCCCCCTTCCAAGTTAGTTCTTTTTATTTTTTTCAAGTAGGCTCTCACAGCAGCTCGAAACTAGGTTAGGAGGGTACCCTACGTTTTCTAGCCTTTTTACTTGCTCAGCAAAACTGATGTCCATCTGATGTTTGCAATTTTTAGCAAGAGCTGCCTGAAGACTTGTTAACGCGATACCTCTCTTGACCAGATTGGAATGTGCAATTTTGTAAGAAACAAGGGTTTTCTTGGAACGCGGGCTATACTTCCAACAAACATGGTCGTCGGAAAACATGTCCATAAGGTCCAAAAAACGAATGCAGTTACAAATATAATTAGTTACAATGAGTGTTTACAATTACACTTAGTTACAGTGAGCAGTTACAGTTACAATTAGTTACAATGAGTGTTTCTTTGTATAGAAATCTGGTGTTTGTATTGGCTAGTCGGTTGCCCCTGTTTCATGTAATATATTTTTTAGCGTAAATGGACAGGCGCATTTTGGAATGCCTACCTGATCTGCATGTAGTTGAAGTATTCAGATATGTTGACGATTATCTTTTAATTTTAGAAACAAATTCGGGTTTGGATGAGGTCGTTGCGGGGATCGTCGATGTTTTTAAAGAAGCGTCAGGTGGACTTAAGTTTACATGGGAAATGCCCGTGCTGAACTGCATTCGTTTTTTGGACCTTATGGTCATGTTTTCCGACGACCATGTTTGTTGGAAGTATAGCCCGCGTTCCAAGAAAAGCCTTGCTTCTTACAAAAGTGCACATTCCAATCTGGTCAAGAGAGGTAACGCGTTAACAAGTCTTCAGGCAGCTCTTGCTAAAAATTGCAAACATCAGATGGACACCAGTTTTGCTGAGCAAGTGAAAAGGTTAGAAAACGTAAGGTACCCTCCTAACCTTGTTTCGAGCTGCTGTGAGAGCCTACTTCAAAAAATAAAAAGAACTAACTTGCAAGGGGGCAGCCAGACAAATAAAGTTAAAAGACGTGTACATATGATTCCTTATTGGCATAAAGTGTCTCACAACATTAAAAAGATACCTAGTAGATACGATGTAAATGTTGTTTTTTTCGGCCCCTTGTAAGCTCTCCGAAATCTGTTCGATGCTTATACGGCAGAAAAAAACACTCTGCTCTAAGAAGCACTCTGTACAGTACACTGAATGTGTGACCAATGTTGTATATGAGATACCATTAAGCCGCAGAAAAGTTTATATTGAACAAACCGGCCGCTGTTTTAACGATAGGGCACGTGAACATAATCTTTCTGTGCGCAACAACGCGGCGGGACACCTGGCCGACCACTGCAAGCGATGTGCTTACTGTAAGCCTCTTTTGACTGAAACAAAGTTTTCAAAGAGATCAAAAGATAAAACCGAGAGAGAGAATATAAAGGCGTTTTATATCAAAAGGAAAGATGACTTATGCGTCAGCATGCCTTCTCTCTTTTTGCTCCAGAAAGAAGTGATGTTTCTAAGCAGCTGCTTGTGAGAGTGGTGATTGGTTGCAGTGTAGGTGTGGCATACGATCTTGTGTATAAAATATGCAGTGTTTTTTCTAATAAAATTAGTTGTGAGTTAGTGCCCGTCCTGTCGTCTTTGTGTCTTTATTGTCCTTGTTTAGTTTGCGCTTTTTAACCTTTTAAATCAGAAGGAACCAACTCGCCCAAACACAAGTTTTAATTGGACAGTACCGCACTCCAGTTTACAGAAATCATATGGTGTTAAAAAATGTCGAGGTTTTTAGCGCTTATATTTCTGAAGTATACTTCAGGACCACAAGTTTCTTTTAAGTTATAGCTCACATTAGAAAGTAAATATATCGGAAGGTGATCACTAATTGCTTCTCCAACTACTCCGGCAATTAATTCCGACGTAGAAAGGTTTGTTAAAAATAAGTCTAGTAACGCCTGACGTACAGGTGTTACATGAGTAGGTTGAAGAATAACATTGGCCAACCCATACGATTGATATAAAGGCATCAGTAATGTTTATGATAAGAGGGAGCATGCATATCTATGTTAAAGTCGCCGCCAAAGTATAGAGTAAAGCCGCCGCCGAAGTATAGAGTAAAGCCGCTTTCACCATTAAACCGAAAGAACACTTCGAGGATTTTAAAAAAAAGAAGAAATATTCCCACAAGGCGGACGATAAAGTACTGAATATATAGATTTTTCATGTTGCAAAGTTAAGATTTCGTAGTCATGAAATTATAGTGAAATCAGTAATAAAAGAACATTTGAGGTGTTTTTTCGCATACATAGCTATACCCCCTTCTACCTTATCACTACGATTTAAATTGAATATATTGTAACCCTCCAATCTATCCACCTCATCAGTATTGTTATACCACGTTTCTGTAAGCATGATCACATCACATCGAAAACTGAAACCGTCCAAAAATACGTTCAGTTCATCAGAGTTATTCCGAACTTTTTGTACATTTAAGTGAAATAATAAAAAAAAAAACTTTGTTTGCTCCGTAAAGATGAGCCCAATTTCTTTAGGTAACAAATAATGGTCGTCACTCATGGTATAAAACTAAATAACCAGCCTTTAAATGCGAAGGAAAAAACTACTCAAACTTTTCCAAATCATCCTTCGACTTCGTACCACACGTACATTGGCCCCCTCTTTCTCTCTTACAAAACCCTTTTCCATGTTTGTACCAAACATACTGGAATATTTTCTCTTTCGCCCATTCCTTCACTTCCCAGGGTAGCGTCTTATCGTGCTGCGTCAAGCTTTCCATTGGTCTCGGGTCGCTCTTTATAAAGAAATGAAGAGTTGGGATTAAATATGTTAAGAAATTGCAAGAATAGAACAGAAAACGTAAAAGTTTACGTTCTAAGGCAGGTACCATAATATAATGCAGCAGTCACTTGTGCTAGCTCCGTGTACCGATTGCACTTTGTCAGCGATTTTCTGTTCTTGCCGCAGTCATTTGGGCCAGGTGTACGCGGTGTCGCTTCTAACACCGCACTAGCGGTGCTCTTGAAGTACTCGATGCAGAGAGCAAGATAGCTTCTTGCGCCACGCACAAATTAGACATGTTTAAGTCCTTATCAAAAAGAGAACACGCTAACCGTGTATCTGCGGAGGGTATGCGGTCTGTTTGCGAAGAAAATCGGTAATCTTAAATTTTAGCGTTTGTTGCGAGTGGCGCGATCGGTATCTGCATTGACATCAAGTGCCACGAAGCGATTTGTGCGACCTCCCCGTCGTCTTGGTTCAATGAGGGTGAGACTCAGACGCCCAGCGGAGCCAATTTAGGCGTCAGTAGAGCGAGTCTAGCACCAACAAGCACGAACGGCCTGCATTTTAAGGTTATGATGACGATGTAATTAAATGCGAAGGTTCAAGCGAGCTGGACAAGGGTGACGATAATAATGCCTAGAGAAGGGGAACAAAGGGTAGAACGCACCAGTCACCTAGCTGTGTTTGGAGATTCGCTTTTGTCCGTTGTCCGCTTTGCTCCCCTTCTCTAGAAATCATTATCGTTATTTTTGTCCAGCTCCCTCGCACCTTTGCATTAATTGCATTACCAGTTCTTTCGCTGGCTCACTCGGAGTCGCTGACAAGGTGAGAAGGGGAGATTCATGGTGAATTCCGCTCTCAGATGTCGAGCGCTCATCTTCCGCTCGCAGATCTGGTTCACTGACGAGGCTCGAAAACGACCCTTGTTCCCCGCCGAGTATCGTCAGCTGCCATCGTGTCGCCAGCTCGCCGCCGTCCTCGGTGGTCGGGCACGTGATACGTCTCCGTGAGCGTTATCAGTCTTAGCTCAAACAACAAACTACGAGCGCGAAAGAGTCACTGGGGTCAGCGTCGTCTCCGATCTGTTGGAATTGATCCAGATCCTTATCGGAGAGCCGGAAGCAGAGACACCCAGTCTCTAACTTGCAGCCTTGCCAATTACGGTCGCCGGCTTTACTATCGAACTTCGGATGATGTTAAAACTGATTAAAACTGTTCAAGATTTCTTTTCAAATATTAAACAAAATACTGTCCTTTCTATATATATATATTGGCCACGAAATTCGGTTACGCGTCGCCGAACGGTTATCTCCGCTTCAAGGTAGCGCTGGCGAAACAGATCAGATGCCAAATCTTCCGAGGTTGCCGTTGTCTTCTTCAAAACTTATAGGCTATTTTCGGAAATTTACACTTTACGCCACGCATCTCCATGTAGTAGTCGTTAGCTCCGATGGACTTCGTCGGCCGCCATTTTTCACTGGAAATTCTCGAAAATCGCTTCTAATTTTAAAACGAGATAACAGTAAGCGCCAAAACTCTGGTTTCTGATCCGGACCTAGCGCTACATTTGGGTGGAGATTATGCGATGCGAACGCTCAACATTGGAACTCATAAAAATGCACAAACCTCATCACTATTGCGTACTTGTATGAAATCGTAACGTACAGCATGTATCGTAAGCACGTACTCCACCGTTTGCATTTCGTTAGGGTCCAAAAGTACGCTGGTCCGGACGCGTGGATTATATATTTATTTTCTCGATGCAGGCGTAAAGAAGGTTGCCCAGGATCGCCATGGCTGCTAACGTCGCAAGTCTTCGCTCGTTTCTTCTGAGCTGCTTTTTAAGTGGGCATTAACCGATGTTGCTCGAAACTTCCAGCCCCAGGGTCCTACAAGAAAGGACCTAAAGTACCTGCTAGACGGTCTACAGACAGACGTGGAGTTCCTTGTCGGCGACCCTCCGGGCACCCGCTTCAAGGCTCACAAGCTAATCTTGGCCATGAGGAACGACGTCTTCGAGGCCATGTTCTACGGCAGCATTCCCGAGGAAGGAGATGTTATCATTCCCGACCTGCATCCGGACGGTTTTCGAGCATTCCTCAGGTAAAAACGCTGCTATGTACGCACCATTCGACAAAATATTAACCCCCCCCCCCCCCCCCAAACCCCCGGCATAAAAAAAATAAAAATAAATTAATAGACTGTTAGGTATTTATGTTTAGGGTTCTGTGTGTTCGGAAATTCGGAGTTTAATTGCGCAGTGTTTCCCTCTAAAAATAAATAAATAAGTATTATCCGGGTGTAAACATATTCCAAATAAAAAAATAAATAAAATAAATCGCGCTTGTATTAATAACTATTTCTTCAGCTGGATTTGGCGTTTGTGGCATTGCAATTAGTAATACTAATTTGTCCCTCGACAAAAGTTGCAAACAAATGTTGCTTCGATAAACGTCGATACCTTAAAATCAACAAACTCCTGGAAGTAGTCGCTGAAAGCTCGTAGTCATCCCACGAAGTGGAGCGGTAATATAATAGAGAAGCTTTTACTGCCCCACTTCCCCATTTTACTGCTCGAAAAATCCCATCCTCGTCACCAATGTACTGGTGTTGTATAGGCCGTTACTTTCAGATTATGACATGCCAAATGCAACAACTGTTTATTTTGATTCATGCCATCTTCGAAGGTTGGGTTGTCTACCCGCTTATGTAGATACTCTGGACACTACACCGGGACGGAAGAAATGGTTTGTGGGTACATCGCATCACTAAAAGCGACAGAGAAAAAAAAGTCGACAGAAGATACAGTGCGCTGTTTGTCTTCTTTATAGTCCTTGTTACATGGCGCGTTCAGTGGTCTTGGTGAACTCCAATGTAGATGGACGTGCGATTGCGCTTTCAGGATGCTCCTCCACACCGTGAAGCTTGTCCAGAAAGCAGTATTCTCCCAGAGTCATTGATGCTGCTACTATGCGTATCTTCAATTCTACTCTGGGAAGCTTTCTTTTGAGGTGAAATAAGAGCAAGAGAAGATATACCTCCAGCAGTGACTAATTCTGACATTAAACATTCTGCCATTGCAGCTATCTGTACAGCCACGAGGCCAAATTCGCTGACGTCGAGACGGCACTTCTCACCAAAAGAGCGGCGCAGAAATACCTGGATCTCAACCTTGTCGGCCTGTGCACAGAGTTTGTCAGAAAGAGCATCAAACCTGACACGCTCTGCTGCGTTCTGGACGTCCTCGCGATTAGCGACGAACCCATGTCCGAGTATGACGGCGCCATCAACGAAACCCTGAAAACAAAGGCTGGTGAAGTTCTTGACTCGAAGACCTTCATATCTGCATCGGAAGTAACCATCTTAGAGGTCTTGAGGAGAGAGAAGAGGGTCTCCGAGTACGAGGTCCTTCGGAGCATTTATGCGTGGGCAGTTGTCAAGTGCTCGGCGGTAGCTGACACGCCCTCTGACAAACTGCTGGAGAGGTCTATGAAAGCCTTATTGTCGGAGATCAAGCTTCTGAGCTTGACTCCAGCAGAATTTGTCGAGGGTCCAGCAGCGTGGAAAATATTCACAGTGGACGAGGCCTATAGCATTCTGAGTAACATCATCAAGCGAGGATCTATGCCGCTCCCCGATTTCTGCAAGCAATAAGGACATTTACAAACTGCTCAAAGTTTCATTGTGTGGATCGTTATCAATCAACCCTGCAGTGTTTTCTTTTTTGTTTCTTTTTTTTTTTGTGTGTCTGTGACAAGATATGCATAAAGCCAAGCAAACGCTGGCGCTCATTTATAGATTTACAATAAAACATAAGGTACGCTCCCGATGTCTCTGCAGTCGTGTGGATCATTCTGGCATTTGATTAGACAAAACTTGGAACGAACAGATTCAGAATGACTTTCCTTGCTCTTCTGCGTTCGTTTAAACTGAAGTTGCAAAGCCCACAACAACGTGCTTTCGGTCATAAGGTCGCTTAACTTCATATTGATCTATACACCTTTTTCACAAGGGCGCAGCCATCTTGAATGTCGTCACTTCTGGTATGCGGTAAAACATCGTTTTGATCTCCACACCGCTGGAAGGTGCAGGCACGTAGCCAGGAAGGGGGGGAGGGGGGGGGGAGCCCATAGGTCCGTCCCCCCCCCCCCCCCCACCGAAATCTCATTTTGCTGGACCACCTCCCTCCCCCCTCCCCCTCATACAGCATTTTGTCACGGGCGGGCCCCCGCCGAAACGAAATCCTGGCTACGTGCCTGGGAAGGTGTTTACGAAAAATGCGTGATTGTCACACATTCTTGTTTTGCCTCGCCTGTACTTTGTCGCCTATTGCAGGTTGAAATGTTTGATGAAAATAATCCCTGGAGAAGGGGAACAAGAGGGACAAGGGACAAACATAAATCTCCATACACAGCTAGGTGACTGGTGAGCGACCGAAAAAATCCGCCTGGTCCGGGTATCGAACCCGGGACCTCTCCATTACAAGTGGAGCGCTCTACCAACTGAGCTAACCAGGGGTTAGACGTCAGTAGAGCAAACGGGTTTTATCAGCTGCCACCAGTCTAACACCAACAAGGGTGAAGCTTGCAATTTAATGTTATAATTATAATGCAATTAAATGCAAAGGGGCAAGCGAGCTGGACAATAATGATGAAAATAATCCCTGGAGAAGGGGAACAAGAGGGACAAGGGACAAACATAAATCTCCATACACAGCTAGGTGACTGGTGAGCGACCGAAAAAATCCGCCTGGTCCGGGTATCGAACCCGGGACCTCTCCATTACAAGTGGAGCGCTCTACCAACTGAGCTAACCAGGGGTTAGACGTCAGTAGAGCAAACGGGTTTTATCAGCTGCCACCAGTCTAACACCAACAAGGGTGAAGCTTGCAATTTAATGTTATAATTATAATGCAATTAAATGCAAAGGGGCAAGCGAGCTGGACAATAATGATGAAAATAATCCCTGGAGAAGGGGAACAAGAGGGACAAGGGACAAACATAAATCTCCATACACAGCTAGGTGACTGGTGAGCGACCGAAAAAATCCGCCTGGTCCGGGTATCGAACCCGGGACCTCTCCATTACAAGTGGAGCGCTCTACCAACTGAGCTAACCAGGGGTTAGACGTCAGTAGAGCAAACGGGTTTTATCAGCTGCCACCAGTCTAACACCAACAAGGGTGAAGCTTGCAATTTAACCCTCCCGGAAACAAGCACCTTATCTCAGAAGTTGTCCCTTGTCCCTCTTGTTCCCCTTCTCCAGGGATTATTTTCATCATTGTCCAGCTCGCTTGCCCCTTTGCATTTAATTGCATTATAAAAATAATGAAATGTTTTGTTATTTTTTCGTCCCGCATACCAGATACGTGACTGAGAATGACAGGAAACAGAAAACGTCCATAGAAGAAATGGGTTTTCGGCTCTCATCTTTCGCATATATCAGCATCGAAACCGCACTCGCTGCCTGCATGGTAGGAGTCCATGATGACCTGGTGATCAGCGTGAATGTGATTATCTTAGCCTGCTCGTTGATCTTGCTTCGTCGCCGCGCTCTGAAGGGAAGGAGGCGCAGGTTTTCGTGTCTGGCCGAGTTGGTTCTACCGAAACACTGAAGGGAAGGTTAGCGCTTTGCTGCCCCGGCGGCGCGCCAGAGATGAAGGCTGCTTTCGAGGGTGTCACCAAATCAACAAGACATCTGTCACAACACAGACGGCATGCAATAAGTGCCACGGAGAAACTCGCTTGTAATTCCGAATTCCTCTCCTGTAATTTCCCAGTGGTTGTTCTTAGCGCCCCTATCAGGTAGTCTGGCTACGTCTAGTCATATAAAAAGGGAAGCAGTCGCACAGTTTCGAAGAACCGCTCCGTTGGGAATGGCATTGGGGGAAATAGGAATAGCAGACGAAACGAAACAACGCTACGTTCCTTCGGAACGTGAAAGACGCGCGGAGAACCGGCTTGCGCGTTGCCATGGCATCGCAACTTCACTATCTACGACACCTCCCATTGACTCCTCTCCTCTGCGGCGACGAGCTGTGTACCGCGCAAGGACCTGTTGGCTTGGCGGCGCCGTCAGGCGTGCCGCTGAAGGCGAAAACAGTTTTTGGTCGGCAGCCCGCGGCGCCCAGCGTCGCGCCTATTTAGCGCGGTCTCTGGCAGATGAAAAACCATCCCCGTTGCTCCATTTACCTTGGGCAATTTACTCGTTTGTTTTGCTGTTGGACAAAGAGGGAGAGAAAAAAAAGCTCCATTTAACATAAAAACAAAGCAGTCGGTTGTGAGCGTTTACGCTTAAACAACATGGATTTGTCGCGGAGGTCTGCTTTAGCCGACAAAGAGATACGAAACTTTCTTTTTGAATGGGATTAATGCCCAGGCATATGTTACGAAAAGTCCTTCGGCCTTTCTGACTTTTTAAGAATTCGACGATAGTTTGATATTTAATGACAGCGGTGATGAAAACGACATGAGTCCTGTAAGCATTTCATCAACTTTAGCGTCTGCACGTCACAAACAAACACCCAATGTTATCCGGATACGTTTTGAAATACAAGTCTATGATGTAGAGCGAGATATAACACCTGGAAAATTAGAAAATGTTTTCGTCTTATTTCAATGCAAATTGCCTGTTTAAAATAAAAAAAATGCCTACGTTCATTGAAAAAAAAAAAAAAAAAATAACGAAAATGAATAGGCGAGGGGTTCATCCGGCCCTGCCACTCCGTGAAAATTTTGCTTTGTTCCGGAAAGTCCTCCCTCACGGTACAGTGACCTTATATGCCCTCCCGATTATACCCCTTTCCTTCCGCCCTGCCCTTGAGATACCGTACCGTGACTTACGGTACGGTGGCTAATTCTGTAGGGAGTTTTGGCGAGTCGTTTTTCGAGCCCACGGTCTCGAAATCACGAACGGTGCAGCTGGTCCGTTCTGTGAAACCGTACGTGAAAGTTGCCATATTTTAGCGAATCGTGAAACTGGAGAAAGCGTGCAAACGATGATGATGATTGTGTTTGACCGGTGGCGCCATCTTCTAGGAAACATGTGAACCATTCTGCAACGTGTAAATCCTTGGCGTCTCGTGTTTCCCGCGTACGACTGATGTAAACAAGACGGCCGACGTAACATTTGCCGGACGACCGTAAAGGTATGTGGTGTGTCTCCGCCCTCTTGAACTTGAACGGTCGTTCATGTTGTGTGCCGTCAACCAAATCATTTCGTTTGCTCGCGGTCGCCACAGCAGCTAGTCTACCCGCAGATCGCAAAAGGTTACTAGTATGCGGAGTTTAGAGCATTCACGATCGCTTACCATTGTCCTCGAAGTGATTTGGTTCAACTTCTCAAATAAAGCAGACTAACAGGATGGCAAATCGCCTCTCGCTGTACTAAGCCTATTGCTCGGCTGGATCGGGGAAGTCAGTCGATTAACTGACTGCTATATATATATATATATATATATATATATATATATATATATATATATATTTTTTTTTTTTTTTTTACCCGAGTCACGAACGGTGCTGGCTGTGTTGCGGTGACGACTCCTGCGGCCGGAATTTATTTATTTATTTATACATGCTGCTGGCCCGTGGGCCGTGGCAGAGGGGAACAACATATAGAAAAACTATACAGTTCATACCTCCAATGAAAACTTTGAACAATACCGTATTTACCAAATTTGATACAAGACGCGCCCATAGCACAAATGAAAAGAAAAAGGGGATTAGATGCACGTAAACAGAAAAAAAAAGTGATAATCACTTTAACAATAACAATATGCTCACCACAATAATAGGCGTAGACTATGGGGGGGGGGGGGGGCATCGGGGCTCGTGCCCCCCCTGATGAGATTAAGAGAGAGCTCTGCCCCCCCCCCCCCCCCCCCCCCCGCTGTTTACACGCCATGTAACGGGGTTCTAGTTGTGGCATATGTAAACAAAATAATGCACACGTTGCCTTTATTGTCAAAATACATGGGAAATAGAATCCCAGCGCGCTTCCGGAAAGGGGAAGGGGGGTGCTTTTCCGCTTGCGAGGAAAAGCCCCCCCCCCCCCCCCCCTTCCCCGGGAAAATGGAAAGTCTACGCCGCTGACCACAATAATCAACAATAATCGAAAGCGCGTGCCATGTACACATCGCGACACTGTTAGCGCGAACGCGACATCGGCGCATTTTCGCATTTGGCATTTAAATAGTCTAAACGAGCGCGAAATATTATCGCTTGCAATATAGAACTAAATTAGCTCTTTCCGTAGCAATAATAACTTGGATGACATCCCTTGGTTTCAAAGAGAAAAACAGCAAAAACCGGCGATCGCTTGTTCGCGCTAACAGTGTCGCGCTCTGTACATTCGAACTAATATACCCCTTCCCTTCCGCCCTGCCCTTGAGCTGCCGTACCGTGATTTGTGGTAGGGTGGCTCATTCTTTATGGAGCTTTGGCGAGTCGTTTTTGAGCCCACGGTTTCGAAATCATGAGCGGTGCAGCTGGTCCGTTCCCTGAAACCGTACATGAAATTTGTCATATTTTAGCGAACCGTGAAACTGCAATACAGCATTGAAAGAATCACGCGATATATACATATTTAACTTTAAAGGCAGTAAAACGAGAGGAAATAACACCGAGGCGATAGGCTTGCATTTTAAACGCAGTAAAGAAGTCTAACAGCCAGTGGCGTACCAACTTGTTTTTGAGTGGGGGGGCAAACCCGACCCTCTTCCCCCCCCCCCCCCCCCCCTTAATCGGAAAATTCGGCGCAACTTTTGTCGAAGTTTTCTAAAGATGTGGCAATGATTCGGCAAAATTACAACGTTACCAGACTTAACATT